AGGACTCCCTTGGCCTCAGTTGGGGGGGGGGGGAATTAAGTACTCTGCATAGCTATGAAGAATGAGTATAAACCTTGTAGTATACATTTATATATAACCAGCCCTCACAGCACACTATCATCACAGCACCTGAAGAAGATCCAACACTTCGGCTTCTATTTATAAACAAGTGTCAGAGCAATTCGCCCTGCGACTCTCTGTGAAGGCAAAAACGAACGTTCTTTGTATATTTCCTTTTTAGGTTTAAAGGAGAACTATGGGGTCAGGGCTTTTCCCCATAGTTCTCCTTAGGGTAACGGGAGGACACAAACTAGCGTCCTCCCGTCACCCTAGGCTCAGTATATAGGGAGCTGTAGCTCGCGGTATACTGAGACGCCGCAGCTGAAGCGGATCCCGACAATTATGTCTGGATCCGCCCAGCTGCGTGAGTGACAGCTGGCTCTGCCTATCTAGAGGGGCTTGTTAGTATGTTAGCTGCAGCGCAGTGCGTTTTAGACGCATTTGCGTTACCGGATCGTACAAAATGTGACACGCAGTATTTTTCTGTCGTAAGCTAAACGGACTGCGCACGTGGGAACTGGAGCCCATAAAACACATGGGGATACATTGGGATGCATTTTGAGTGCAGCAGCGTACGGATCAGGTCAGCACACAAAACGGACGTCATGTGAACTGGCCCTTTTACTGCGTTATGGCTGCTACTAGTACTAATTTCCCATACTCCTCAGCACCATTTAGTGGCCACAATGCGGCTCAATAGTACGTTAGACCTGAAAAGAAGAAATACTAAGAACGTTCGTTTTTGCCTCTCCGCGCACAGGACGAACGTTCACAGGGATGCGATAGGTGAACGAGATTTGTGTGCTCGCCTCTGCTCATCACAAGGACATGGAAAAGGCTTTGTGTACAAAGGGAGAAATTCATACAAAGGACATTGTCGCGATTGTGTCCTGGCGTCTCGTGACGGAAAGGATGTAAACAGATGTCCACCCGCCGGTAATAAATAAAGATACAACAAGGAAAGGAAAAAAACAAAAACTGTCAGATCTTTTCTGACGTTCCCCTTTGTGGGAGGTTTCCCTTTACTTCCTGTCTTGTAGCCCCAACAGGAAGTGGGAGGAACCCTCTTAAAAGTGCGGGACACTATTAGACCCTATTGCAATCTTTCAGCTCTACTTTTGTTCAGGTGACAATTTAAAATGGACCTTTACCCCCCTGTGACTAAAGATGACATGAGCATGGAGCTCCGCACGCTGATATGAGATCGTCTCACATTCATTTAAAGGAGAACTATGAGGGAATAACGAAAACTGGTCCGAAAAACAAATTTTTCCCAAACGATGTCTAATGTGCATGGTCACATGTCCTAGTCACATGTGCCAGAGTTCCAGGAAGTAAAGAGAGACCTAGTCATCTGCCCTTAGTAAAGATGGCCGCTGTGAGAAGAATGGGGAGGAAAAGAAAAATAAGGTATGTAAAGACTACAAAGCCGGCAATGATCTACAGTAGTGGTTCTCAACCCGTGTAACCTCGGGACCCACATTTGTCCTCGGTCATTAAAGGAGAACTATGGGGTCAGGGCTTTTCCCCATAGTTCTCCTTAGGGTAACGGGAGGACACAAACTAGCGCCCTCCCGTCACCCTAAGCTCAGTATATAGGGAGCTGTGGCTCCCTATATACTGAGACGCCGCAGCTGAAGCAGATCCTGACAATTATGCCGGGATCCGCCCAGCTAGCTCTGCCTATCTAGAGGCAGAGCCAGCTGTACCCGCACCCACCCAGCCGACCTGTGACAGTCTCATTGTCACAGGTCGGCTAGAACTATGAGGTGAGTGAAAATCACCCCCCTCCCCCCCCTCATAGTTCTCCTTTAAGTCTCGACCCAAGTCACACCGCAATGGAACGCATGGCATTAGCGTGTCACGCGATTGAACTGTGGGTTGGAGGTGCGTTTGGGGTACCATTCAAATGAATGGCAACGCAATGCACCTCCCACCCCAGAATGTACGGTAGGCGTGATTGCGTGGTACAGTGTGTTATTCGCACGGTACTATGTGTGAACTGGGCACTCAAAGACACTGACAGTCACACACACTCCAAAAATGTCTTCATTTAATTTTTTGTAAGGTCCCCCTACCTTATGAGAGCAGGAGTGGATCCTCAGCCTTGGGGCTGCTGTACTGTGTCGGAGCTCCATCCATATGTGCAATGCTGGTACAGCTCCCTTGTGTGCCCTGTAGAGGTGCTGGGAGCCAGAATGTGACGTCACTCCGCTCCAGGCACCTCTACAGGACACGTGAGGGAGCTGTAAGCAATGCATGTGTGAATGGAGCTCCCCCGTAACCATAGCCCCCCACCTCACCTCAAGCTGACACTCGGCGCCGGGCAGCATATTTTGAATGGCTGCTTGGCAAAGGAACTGACAGTGCACAGGGCCCGGTAAGGCGCAGCGGCGGGCGCGCGCTCGATCATCCCCTCCCCCCCTTTCCTGCCAGGCCTGTGCTCGGATCAAGGGTCTGGTAGGAATGTTAAGGGGGACCCCATGTTTTTTTTCCCACCATTTTTGGGGGTCACGTCATGACTCGCCTCTAGGCTTCCCGATTGGTCAGGAAACCACGCTGCCTAGGAACAAGTGAAGCCAGCCTCCTAGCCAATCAGGAAACCGGACAGCACCTCATGACCCGCCTTAAGGCTTCCTGATTGGACAGGAAGCCAGGCAGCCTCGACAAGTGGAGCCCGGTGTTCTTTCCATAGAACACCAACTTCCCAGGCAACCAGGAAGCCGGGTGATGACCTGCCGCCCCGCTTTCCAGATAATCGGGTCACACGGCACCGGTACTCGGTCCCTCCATTACACATTATATATTGGTATTTGGGTAGAATAAGACCGAGTTGGACATTTCGGATGAAATACAAATAATTTACACACCAAATGCCAATAAAAGACACAGAGCCCACGTAATGAAAATATTTTATTTGGGGAAGACAGTAATACTGCCGTGTATCTCCAGGCCCGAGCTGCTCCAGTACTAACAAATAGCTTTCTCTGGTACAAACGTCACAAAATAATCTCCCGGCATCCAAACTCCGCACATAACAGAATATTCCGCACCCCTTCCCTATCGCACCTCAACTATTTACAGAAACCTTAATCACAGAACCGAGCGATTCCAATAAAATATATATAATATTTACACCACAAATACAAATGTATTTATTGGGGGGGTGAGGGGGGGGACACAGGAGTGAGCCAGAACTTCCCAGGCGGGGGATCTCCCTCCCTTCTATACATTCCCATAGATGGAGCTTCAATGGATCAAAACTCTGCTGCCGCCTAGTGGCCGCGTCCAGTCGTTGCAATGGATGATCACAGCTATAGGAAAGCAAGCAGGCTTTCCGGGTGCGTCCCCCTTGTAGTGCGGGGGGCTCCAGTTAACGCGAGTCATGTTTTCTTAGTGAGATGAGAAGTAAAAGCGAGATGAGAATGACCAGCAGGAGATCTATACTGTCTGATAGAAAGGGAATCCCAGAATATAAAACACACCGAACATTTATAAAACACACATGTTCATACTGCGAACACGGGGGTAGGGGGGGTGGTATGCTGGATAATGTTTGTAACATATGTGCTCAAAGGGTCAGCTGGCTGTAAAACAATAGCGGCCGAGCCACGCCCCCCCGGCATCCTGTGCTCTGCCACTTTACACAGGTTCACTTTAAGCCCTTTAAGAGCGTCTTAATGCGAGAGGGGTTTCCAGGTCATGTGATTATTTTTAGTGAATGGGGTTTTTGTAGTGCCGACATAGTGATCACATGATCAGGAGCCCGTACTACCGGCGCCCAATCATTGCGAAGTTGCTGGTGGCAGTGCAGTCAGGGTACTGGGGGTGCACAACTGAGCGAGCTCGCAAGAAACACAGGTACATATAGGTGCAAGTGTGGAATAAGCCCCACCCCCATGTACAGCCAGCGCTGTAATGGAACCCTCCCCAGCACTATTCATCATGGGGGGGGGGGGGGGGGGTAAATACCTTGCCTATACATTTAAAGTGAACCAGTTGGCTTTGCCCTCCAGGGCTTGTGACGGTGCCGCCAGCCGTGTGTAAACTCCCGCTGTGGAGGAGCACGTTGTGCCGTGACCAGATCACCTCCATTCATCGAGCTGCAGTATCGCTTACAGCAGGGGAGGGCAACCCTGACACTCCCGCTGTGGTGAAACTACAAATCCCGTCATGCCTGTCCGAGTCCTGCAATGCTTCATAGGACTTGTAGTTCAATGACAGCTGGAGCGCCGAGGTTGCCCACCCCGATTTACGGTGTAGGTGACCCCCAAAATCTACAATTCGGGATGTGTTGGGTTACCCCTATAGGTTCTATGGAATGTAGTCAACATTTGCTAAATACCTGCCGATCCTTCCAGTTCTCTTTGGTGCCTTCTTCTACCCGACCACCCCAACCATGGAAACAGATCTGTGCTGGCATGGTCAGTCCCCGTCCTGGGGATCACTGCTAAGGGGGGTGACAGGACACCATGCCGATGCACAGCAAGCTTGTAGTCAGTTTTGTGGTCATCCCCCCCGGGGCCCTGCCCATGTTGACTGACAGCAGTTCACAGCAGAAGCCTTCCCATCACAACTGCAGCTGCTTCTGGGACAGCGCGCACGGGCAGAGAACGTACTTCCCCGCGGTCTGTGTTGTCGTAAACTGCCCGCGCCATTGCTATAGTGACACACCCCCTGCGCTAATCAGAAGAGGACCTGAAATTGGGGGTTACCCGCGGTGCTCAGTGGTTCTTCCTGCCAATCCAAGTCAATCCAGGACACAGCAGTGATGTGGATGTCTGCAGAGGATGCAGGAAGCACTGCGGGGTAACACAAAAGATTGACCCCCCCCCCCATACAAGCTCCTACTCAGGTTATCTTGAATCTGATAATGGTGACAGCGTCACTTTAAGTGCAGTTCAAGGTGCTGTAAATGCCGCTGCAGCTTGATGAAATCGGGGCCGTGGCGGGCAAACGCGGCACATTCATAGTATTATTTCCACTTAGCGTGAGGGCCACAGGGTCCCCGTCTACTGCCATCAAACAGGGCTGAACAAATCCCAGGAGCCAGGTCACCAAAATAAACAAACATGAAGGGTCCCCGGGCCCTGACTACACAACAATTGGCTCCCGAGTACATAATGAACCCCTCCAGCCATGAGACAGACCGATGGGCGGCAGGAATGGCGCTCGCTGGTAACACAACAGGAATGGAGAAAGTAAAATAAGACTAAATGTAAACACAAGTGTACGTTGTGACCGCGATGCTGCGTCTCTCTCCCGAGCATGCCGAGCGTTCTCTCGAATGCAGAATGCACGCGGCTTGGAGAGCGGATCAGAGTGCGGGTCTCGTCCGCGTCTACATTTTAAAGCGGAAGTAAACTCGGCAACTTATTTGAAAAGGAACATAAAATGGCGTCCATGGCTAGCCGTCCGGTCATTCATCAATCCTCTTTCCTTGTTTGGTTTCAGGACATCTCTAGCACATGCGCAGCATTCCCGTTGTGTCAGCGCTGCCAGAATGCTCGGGTGCTTCTTGCCGGGATCGTGTTCTTGCGACACCCCTCGCTGCTCCCATCTACACTGTGTGACTTTGCATTGTCGCAGGGTTGGAGAGGAATGTCGGTGGAGAAGACCAACACTAAAGTCATCGCCAGAATCCATCCAAAACAGTGACTG